TCAAGAGGGATGTGGATAACCTGGAGAGGGTCCAGAGAAGGGCCACTCATATGGTTAAGGGATTGCAGGTCAAGCCCTATGAGGAGAGACTAGGGCACCTGGACCTCTTCAGCCTCCGCAAGAGAAGGTTGAGAGGCGACCTTGTGGCTGCCTATAAGTTCATCACGGGGGCACAGAAGGGAATTGGTGAGGCTTTACTCACCAAGGCGCCCCTGGGGGTTACAAGAAATAATGGCCACAAGTTAGCAGAGAGCAGATTTAGACTGGACATTAGGAAGAACTTCTTCACAGTTAGAGTAGCCAAGGTCTGGAATGGGCTCCCAAGGGAGGTTGTGCTCTCCCCTACCCTGGGGGTCTTCAAGAGGAGGTTAGATATGCATCTAGCTGGGGTCATCTAAACCCAGCACTATTTCCTGCCTATGCGGGGGGGTCAGACTTGATGATCTATTGAGGTCCCTTCCAACCCTAACATATATGAATCTAAGAAATAGAAAAAATATACAAGGATAAAATCAGGGAAGCAAAGATTAAAAGTGAGTTACAACCATTGAGGGAAGTCAAGGACAATAAGAAGGGGTTCTATAAATATGTTAGACACAAAATAAAGACCACAGAAGCTATGCATCTACTGCTAAATAACCAGAAAGCTATTATTTTTAAGAAAGAAGAAAGAGGCTTATAAACAATGGAAGCTTGGGGCGGGCCTCGAGGAAAAGGAATAAAATTAGAATACGTCATAGTAGATGTTTGATTTTTTAGCATATGGCTTGTTTTTATCTATAACTTGTTAATATGATATCCTCCAAAACATTTTGTGTGTGCGGTCCTCAACAACACAACAAAACTTAAGTCACCCAGGGTTACCATACATCCAGGTTTTCCTGGACATGTCCTCTTTTTGGGCCCCCTGTCCTCATGTCTGGGTGGGTTTTTAAAATCCGAGCAAATCTCCAGGTTTTTGTTTTGCCTCTGCTTCTCCCAGGCACAAGCAACTTGCATGCATGGGGCTGGGAGCAGCTGGCAAGGTGATTGACTGTCGGGGGTCACGTGCTCTGCGCACGAGCCCTGGCCAGTAAGTGCATGTGCATGTGTGTGTGGTGTGTGTGCTTGTGCGTGCGTATGCATGTATGCGCAGTCAGTAGCTGCATGGGCAGCAGGGCTGGGGGAGTGAGGGTCAGAGGCAGGGCACAGGGATATCACTGCACACCCGCCCCCATAGTCATATAGCCCTCCTCCTACCCCTCTCCCCCGCTGGCTCCCCAACCCCTCCCCGCTCCCCCACAGGTTTCTTCTTTTTTGATTCTAGAAATATGGTAACCCTAAGTCACCCTCCAGCTGAAATAACTGCCTGCCCCTGATCTACAGAAAGAGCTGGTTACTAACAGCCAGCATGGATTCCTTAAGAGCAAATCATGTCAAATTAAATTAGCGTCCTTCTTTAACAAAGAAGTGGATGGGTGAAGGGAAAGCAGGGCAGATGATGTACTTGGATTTTAGTAAGACTTGATAAAGTCCCACGTGAAACTCTCATAAGGAAATGGGAAAAATGCAAGCTAGATAAATTTCCTACAAGATGGGTATGCAATTGGCTCCATAACTGCCAGCAAAAGGTAAATGGATTAATGTCAGAATGGCAAGAGGTTTTGTGTGGGGTTCCAGAGGGTTCAGTCTTCATTCCAGGGCTATTTAATCTGCTTATTGTCACAAACATTGTTATGTTTGAGGGGTTCATAGGGTGTCACAAATGTTTCCTTGAGTGTAGTTTATTGCATGTGGTTTTGTTGAAAAGCCTGTGTTTACGCTGTACCCATGTATGTTACTGTTATCATTATATAGATGATGTTATTCTGTCTGTATATACCTTTATGATTTTGGACATGATTTAGTAAGAGGAGCTTACGGGTACATAATTAAAGAAAAGATAGTAGGTGTGACTGCTAAATATCTCTTGCTATTGTGATACTAAGGCAAGGACAATTGCTACTCTTAGACAGGTAGAATGAAACATCATTGGGTTGGGCATCCAAAGTATTGTCTCCCTTCAATGTGGAAAACAACTCCTTTATAGCAAAGGCATGTGAGGAAAATGACGTTCATCTATAAGAATGCCAGATATCCCAGGAAGAGAAGTTTTGGGAAGATTCTGGTGACTCATGAATGATTAGATTAATGCTGATATGGGAGGAAAGGGGAATGAGGGCTGACTTGGAGGTTTTTTAGAGTCTAGCTATGATAGAATCGCAGTCTTTTGGATTTTTCCAAAAGAAAGAAGAAAACTGATAAGTGGATCTGAGGCTCTGGTGGAACTGCTTAACAGCTTTGGGCAGGAAATAAAGAAACTTTGAGAATCACCACTCTAGTTTCTCCACCATGCCATTTACTTCCAAGATAATCTGAATTTACCTTGTTCACTTCTAAAGGATTCAGGTGATATTTACCCTGTTTCTGCAAAAATGATTAACATTGTGTAACACAGGTTTTACAAACAGAAGTGTTGCTATGTAACTTGGGGACTGATTTTCCACTGCCTGGACTCTGGTTTAAATGACTAACACCAGTGAAAAGTGGATGCAAAACATTTCTCTTCAACTTAGTAGTATTTCACATGCACTTTCACTGGTATAAACAGTTGCACAAGGCATAAGGCAATGGAAAATCAGGTCCTGGGATTTTATTTCCTTACCACAGTTCCATTACCTCAATCAGGATGGCCAAGATTAGTAGCTCTTTGACTTTCTTTCATGGCTCCTGATCCCATTAGGAGGGCTAATTAATTGTTTAATATGCATGGTTACATAAAGCAATATAGCTACAGGCCAGTAAAAGGGAGACTTTCTTCTTGGGGCTTCATTGAGAACCCACTGAGGTCTAATGAAAAGCTCCCTGATGTCATGTTCTTTGGCATATACATGTTCTCAGGCATCCTTCAGGCAGACAAACACTACATACCAAGAGCAACTGTTGTGAAGCTGGCCTCTGGCCCAGGGTGCCCTTCTCCACTGTCACCTTGCCGACTCAGCTGAACACAAAACTTGTACTCTGTTTTTGGTTCCAAATTATCTAATTTCTTGGTCCTTCCATGTACTGAGGATGAAAGGAGAAAAGAAAAGTAATCTCCTTGTTCTATACTGGAAAAAGCTTAGGAAGGAAATTTGTCAATCCTGAATTATAAAATGTAAGAAGGTAAAAGGTGTAGGTGTTCTGTATCCCCATTGCTCTAGGATGAGCTGCTTAGAAGTACAAATTAATTATCATAGTTATAATTTTATTCTTTGTTACTTATTATTTGCTACAGAGCCACAAGAGCAGTTGGCTGTGACATGGAAAGGGGGTTGAGTTCCCAAGCCAGAGTTCTCTGTACAAGCTGCTAAGTGATAAGCACTTCTAAAATATAGTTAGAAGTGATGCCAGGAGCATAAAATGTGATCCTGCAGAGAAACATGGAGGAAGAACTTGCATTTGTTCAGAGACCTCATGATTTAACTGGCTTAGCACTTAGGGTAGGGGTGGGCAAAATACAGCCCATGGGCTGGATCCGGCCCACCAAGTGATTATGTCCAGCCTTCCGGTGGTTCCTTGGCCCCAGTTGACCCAGGCATGGGGGGCATCCAGGGCCATGGAAGTGCCACCCGGTGTGGAAGTGCCACCTGGTGCATAGTACAGCCTGTTCTATCCCTGCGTGCAGCTCTTGGGCACACCAAGAGCTATAGTCAATGGGGCCAGGTGGCACAGCAGTGGGGCAGGGGCAGCGCAGTGGCTGGACTTGGTTTCCTGATAGCCCCGCTACCCAGACACACTGGCCCATTCACCCTGCACTTACCACCAGGGGTGCTGGATGGAGCAGGTGGGGTCTTCATGGAGACTGGCCCAGGACCCCTGCAGGCAGGGTGCACTGGGCCAGGCAGATGAGATGGGGCTAATTATGATCAAAGATTCTGTATGACTAATGGAATGAAAGCACTGGCCCTTACCTTTCACTGACTTCCATGGCTGGAGGCCTTTAGCAGGCTTGTACAAGAGTTTGGTTAACACAATTGGTCCATCGCCAGTGTGAGGGTCAGCATTGATATCGATGATGAGAAAATTATGTCCACTGTCCTGCATCTTTGGAGGATATTGTGGCACTGGAGGAACTGAGCAAGCATAGGACTATAAGATTAGTTCTTTTATCTGTCTACATTAATAATACACTGGTATCTACCTGGATGCAAAGGGATATAGGAACTGCCATTCTGTATCAGAGAAATGGTCCCCCTAATCCAGTATTCTATCTTTGATAGCTCTGACTTCCATTAGATAGAAGTTGTCTCATGCCCTGCAGCTTGAGAGTTTAGATCCTTCCAAACTCCTTGGGTTTTCTTTCTATCCTGAAAATTATGTTCATTTTCCAAATAATAAAATAATACATGCAACAGGCTGCTATTTGTAATAAAAGCTTATTACTGGTAATATCTGAATGTACATATTTATTTAAATATGTCCCTGCAATGCTGAGACTAAAAAGAATTGAAGCATTCACAGTGAATCCTAGAAAGCATAACTAATTGGAAACAAAAATGAAACCAACAAATTGCTGACTATGCAGCCATTACTGCATGGTCATTTAGTACTTGTATAAACAAGTACTAAAGCATTTTTTGGGGGATTAAGTATCTATAGCTCTTAAATTCAAATGTTTTCTGAGCACCACCTTGCCTCTTTTACTAAGATGACTTGGTATAAATTGAGGTGCTTCATTGTATCCATTTAGGTTTGAAATTACTTGTTCTAGTGTCTAGGAATCACTGGGTGAACCTACATGTGAAATTAAGGTGAAACAATAAACTCCAGCAATAAACTCCAGCTGTTCAAGTCAGTGTAAACTGCTCCCGGGCACAGTTTCTACATGTGCGCCTGGGATGGCAGTAATATGAGCTGGGGTAGAACAGGGACAGGCTGGCAGGGAAAATGGGGGGGTCAGCCCCAGGCTCCAGGTGGCAGTGTCGGGTGGCAAAGGGACTTGCTGGGGCAGAAGCATGCTGACCCTGTGGAGTTTTGTGGCTAGGTGGCAGGCAGGAGTCTAGACCCTATCCGGTCACTGTCTACGTGTGCATTTCAGCACAGTAAATGATCTTGCCGTAAAAAAGTACTATCTTATGGCAGAGTTAATTATTTTACTGTGACCTAATACTGGCGCAGATGCAGATGGTGATGCTTTACTGAAGAGCTAATTAATAAACTCCGCAATAAGGTGCATGTGTAGATTCATCCACTGAATAGGAATTGCCACATGATAGTGTCTTGAAGATTTTTGTAGCTGAAAACATTCAGAGATGTAAACTTGCCCTTCTTAAAATAAAGAGGCAAGGATATTTAAAGGCAGATGATTCATGCAACCTTACCTTTAACTGTAACTTGGAAAGGCTCCTCCCCTGCTACTGTCTGAACAGTGCAGACCCACATTCCTGAATCAGGAGGATGGACTCTATAGATATGAAATGTTGCCTCGGAGCAATTTTGTGTAACAGTTAAGAACGAATTGGGCTGAAAAGAAAAATTACAGAGAGGGCCTAAAAAACATGGACTCTGATAAACATGTCCGTCTCATTCTCCTCTCAGGCCAGGTAAAGACATTATATATAAACTGGTATAAATGATCAAAAACTGGTCTATACCCATAACATAACAGAAGTTTGGGGCGCACAGAAATTTTAAAAAGGTAGAACCCAGTCTAAGAGCGACTTGGATCAATGAGGTATCAGACTTAATGGCTAGGGACAGACATTACACATAAACCAGTTTAAGTGCTCAGAAACTGGTTTAAACTTGTAATATAACAGACATTCAGTGCACATAAACCAGTTTCAAAATGGCCCAAACCAGTCTGAGATAAACCTGGTTTAATGTAGTATCAGACTTAACTGATTTGGCTCAAACTAGTTTATGCAATGTCCGTCCCAGATCCCTTGCTGGTTTAAAATAAACCAGACTCCCCCAGCATCCGCAGCTCTCTGCTCCACAGCAGAGCTGGCCCTTCCCCTCTGCTCCCTGGCTGGAGCTCCAGCAGAGACTGCAGACACAGCAGGGTCTGCCTGGCTTCCTCCTGCTGTACTCCTGCTTCCTGCTCGCTGCTCAAGCAGGAATCTCCCCCACCCTCCCTCCTTCCTTCCCACAGTACAGACCCCAGCCCCAAAGACCCTAGGCATGTGGTATGCTAGCTAATGCTGAGAGGTATCTGTGTGTGTGTGTGTGTCTCCAATTTTACTGGGACAGTCAGATAAAACAGTGACCGCTTAGGTCTTTTTGGAGCTAATCAACAGGTCAGCTGGTAAGCTGTTTAAGAAGAGCTTGAACTAATGGAGAGAGGCTGTTGTTTTGCTGATTGGGGTGATAAACACTGTTATCATCCCCATGCTAGCTTGCTCACCTGTCAGTTTGCTGCAGACAGCATGAAGAAGAAGGGAGGGAGATTGAAAAGCTCCATATCATCAACAGATGCATGCATTGCACCCCCCCACCCTTGCCTCCGAGTGCTAGCAGGGGGCTGGGGGTTAGCAACACTCCCACCCCTTGAGCAGCCAGCAAGGAAAAGCCTGGAATGGTGCAGGCAGACCTCCCTAATCAGAGGTCCTGCCAGGGCTTGGCCATGCCCCCCCGACTCCAGCTCAGCACTATGTAAAGAAAAGGCAAGCAGCTGTAGCACCCCCCAGCTTCTAGCCTGAGCCATTGCACGTATGTGCCTGAATTTCCTCAGTCCAGAGAGAATGTCTGGGGACAAGGGTGCTCTGTAAAATGAAGGATCAGACCACCAGCAGCTGAGGGGCCTGATTCTTCTTCTATGGAGTGTCCCTGTCCCCATTGCCTGTCACAAGCCTCCTGGGATACTGGGCATGTCCTGCAGGCTGCCACTGGTGCTGGGCTCTGAGGGGCCCAAACCTTCCTTCTACAGAGTGTCCCTGTCCTTGCTGCCCAGAACAAACCTCCTAGACTGCCAAGTGTGTCCTGCCAGAGCTTAGCACCAGCAGCAGCCAAGGGGCCTGATCCTTCCTTCTACAGAGTGTCTGGGCCACACCTGATTGGCTGTTGGGCACATGCCTCCAGCCCCCTGCCATCACTGTGGACCCTCCCCCATGCCCAGCCCTAGGCTTCCAGGAGAGCCCCAGAGTGGGTCACCATGGCACACTAGGCTGTCCTTGGCAGTCTCTAGCATGCTGGGAGGCTTGTGGGAGTATCCCTAACCTGTTGGCAGCTTGCATACTCCCCACCACCCAAGAGCAAAAGTGCAATCTGTTTGCTAATTATCCAACCTAAGCAGCTTAGAGACACCTGCGTAAGTTTGATAGATTCCACCTTGGACTTTTTGAATATCTGTACCTAACCTCAGTTAAAGCTTCATGCAAAGTGCATTGATACAGACAGAAAGCTTCATATTGACCTCAGTGATCTTTGGAACAGGTCCCAAGTAGAGCAATGTCATTTCCTGACTACTGTGGGTTTCACGCTGTAATTTAAATGTTGCTTTATTTTACCTTTTTACTGTATCTAGAATAATAATAAATATAACTTTAATGTATTATGAACCTGGCCTCTCAAAGAATACCCAAAACATTCTGAGATGCAGGATCCAAAGCCTGTTTCTATTGATTTTAGTGAGAAAAATTTCACCGACTTCCTCCTCTTAAAGTAGGGAGTGCGCTTCAGCCCTCAGTGAAAAACCTCTAATGCTAGGCTGGAAATTCAGCAGTATTTGCACCAAAAACACTCCATTGTATTATAATACCTGATTGAATTAATAGTCATGAATAGTATTTCCAAAGAACTAGGACCTTTTTCTGCTCTCAGTTCTATAGCCGTGTTAATTATTCAGAAGTGTTTTATTAGTATTTGGATGAATAATTTGAAGTCTGTGTATTGTTCATGAAATACTCATTTAGATTATATGCTCTTTGTTATTTGTAATGTTTGACTGGTCATTTAAGCCACATGACAATTTTTCTGCTACATCTTTAATTTTATTTAGACAAATAGGCTAAGCACAGACATTTGGAAGGTGAAATCACATTAAAAATGGCTGCCCAATTTAAACTTAGCTCATCCTGGTGCCGACCTTACACTTACAGATCCGGTCTCCATGACCGGCTATCAGTCTAAACCTGTAACAGAATATAAATTCCATGCACACAAACTGGTTTAAAAATTGTAGAATCCGGTTTAAGATCAACCTGGATTAATGCAGTATCAGACTCATTCAATTTAGGTCAAACTGGTGTATGGAACTTGTGTATGCTTTCCCTGTGCTGCCCTGGGGCTGGGCAAACACAGCCACTGGCCCCAGCCCTGGGGCTGCTCTTTTCACTCCTCCCTTCTCTCCGCTCCCCGCCCCCACTGATCTATTTTTTGCTCCACCCCTCCGGCCCCTTGCTCCCCCACTTAGCCAGCCCTCTCAACCTCCGTCTTACAAGTCACTCTGGATGCAGCCAATTTTATCAGTGCTTGTTGCTGCTGGAGCCAACCAAGTAAGTCTTGGTGGGAAACGGGCAGGAGTGGTGGGGATGTAAGTTTGCTTGGGGGTGGAGAGACCCCCCACCTCCTCCCACCCTCTCGCCACCCCACCCATGGGTCATGCCTACTCCCTCTATCCCTCATGGGTTGTGCCTGCTCCCCACACCTGCAGGTTACACCTGCCCTCTCTACCCCACCCATGGGTCATGCCTCCCCCATTCATCAGCAGACCCCTGATCCTCTCCAGTCTACTGAATCCCCAACTCCCTGGCTAGCCCCTGCCATCCTGACTTACCTGATATCAGGCACCCATTTTGAATCAATTTAACCTCCCCTTAATGCCCCCAAATGTACATGTCTGTACTTAGCCACAAGGAACAACAAATAGCAGAGCTGTAACTTAAAATGTTGGTGCTCTGCAGGGTAGAAGGGAGTAGGGGCACTGGGTGCTGAGTATTTATATCATTGCATAGGGGCTGCTGCAGCTGTAACATGGGCTTTTACTGCTGTGGCACAACCATTCCAAAAACAGCTCACTCACCCACCCCTAACAAATAGATAAAAACAAACAGTAGAAAGTAAACACTATACTTATTTTGTAATATGCATCAAACTCTGAACCTGATTCAGGAAGGCTTTAAGTGCACACTTAAATTTATCTCTGCAACGAGTATGGCCAAACGTAAATGTGAAGCATTTTAAGCTAAACGTATGCTAGATGCCTCCTGAGACAGGATACATCCCTGAATCAAAACCTCTGCAAATTCTTCCAGGGATGTTGGGTATAGAGGCTGGCTGAAAAATTGACCATAAAAGTATCATGGTATTTTTCATACCAGTAAGGGAGTGCCCGAGGTCAAAAGGTCTTTAGCATAGATTATTTAACAATCACACATAATATCAATAAGAAAAAATAGTGTAATAACCGATCAGGAACCCACCTTGAGGACAGTTCCATCTTTTTTCAACAGTTTAAAATCTTCATTCACAGGACGTGGCTCACCAGTGGCTCTACAAGTAGGTTTAAACTCCATGCCAGAATTGAGTTCCACATTGCCTGGTGAGCTTTTTATCTGAGGTGATACATCTGCTGGACCTGTGAATAAAAAATGTAGGATTATAAGATCATAGGAAAGTAGGGTTTGAAGGGACATCATAAATTGTCTTAGTTCAGCCCCCTGCTCAAGGCAGGATCATCCCTGACTAAAGCATCCCAGCCAAGTGTCTGTCTAACCTGCTTTTGAAAAGTTTCAAGGATGGAGATTCTGCAATGTCTTCTGCAATTCCTGTTCCAATGCTTGACCAGTCTCATAGTCAAAAAGGTCATTCTAACCTCCAGCCTGGATGGTATAGACAGGGATGATCCTGTCTTGAGCAGGAGGTTGTACTAAGTGATCTCCCAAAGCCCCAACTCTATTTTTCTATGATTCTATAAAAAGAAAGTAGTGAAATCAGGCTAGGATTGAAGTGGTATGATCAAGTCTTGGTCTCCATCTCCCACAATTTATAAACTTATAAGGCCCTCTAAAGCCTACAGTAAACAATATTCAATGGATATTTTACATACCGTAATTAACAAGTATCCTCAAGGGGATAGTAATTAACAAGTATCCTCAAGTATAACAAGTGGATCCTCCTCGTGTTGTAGCTCCTGAGAATCTAGTGCCCACTGTGGCACAAAACCAGTGTCCCCCAATCTCTCTGGGCAACTAACACTGTTGCAGGTAAATACAAAATTCTATGCTTTGATAAATTATATGATTTATAGCACAAAAACTCCACAGGATCTAATGGTATTACATTGAATCACCTCAGAATTTAGCCCCCTGGCTTGGCTGCTTCTTTCTCTTTAGTTTTGGAAGCCCTCATTCCCCATGGAGCTGTTCCAAATACCAGTCCCATGATCACAAGCTTAGAGTGCAAAGAAAACCATGAGGTACTGGCCAGAAGAGATTGCACAGTTCATGGGAAGTAGGCAGCAATGGTGCACTATAATTAGGGTGACCATATGTCCCAGTTTGGCTGAGACAATCTCAGATTTCATAGGCCAGTCCTGGATGGTTGAACAGAAGTCCCAGAATTATAGGGATGCAGGGTGCAGTGGAGCAGCATGGTGAACCAGGCAGGCGGGCAGGCAGGCACTGCTGCTGCTGTGCAGGAGCAAGGTGGGCAGACTGGAACAGTGCTCAGCCCAGCCCATCCCCTGCCTGTGCTCAGGGGGAGCCAGGCCAGGCATGTGCAGGTGGGGTGGTGCCTGCTCCAGTCTACCCACCTTGCTCCCACACAGCTGCAACTGCAGCTGCAGTGCCTGCCTGTCTGCCTGGGCACCATTCTGCTCTGCCTTCCCACTGGACTGCACTCCCTACCCTGCCCTCCCGCCTCTTCCTCTGCCTGCATCAGCACCACTGTTTTGCTAGTGGGGCAGTGTCCCAGATTTCCTTAAAAATAATATGGTCAACCTAACTACAATACAACCTGAAAGCGGATTATTGAGCCCTGGACATACAACCCTTACCCAGGATAGTGACTAATTTCAGGTAGCTCCACTGAAGCCTATAGGAGTAAGTATGACATAGGCTAGCTCTAAGGTAGGGTGAGATACACTACCATGCTGATCTTAAAACAAAGGCACCAAACAGGCAGTGGATAGCAGAGCCTAGCAGCTGCTGTGCTAGAACAAAGATTCAGGAATGTGCTCTGTGCCCCCTGGAATAAAACTGGGGCAGCTACGATGGGATATCAGTCTTTTATGGAGATGTTCTACCAGCATGAAGTTTTGTTTTGGTCATACTGGGAAAAGCCATTTACTACCGTGTTACCTTGCTTTACCTTCTTTTTCACATTGTAGGCCATGCCAGCCAGAGTTACACACGCAGCCCTTAAATCTGTCACAGCTTCCCTGGTGTCTGCAGTTACACCTGAGTTTACAGTCCGGTCCATAAAAACCAGGTTGGCACTCTGTAAGCACATGTGGTTAAAGTGAGTATTTATAATAAAGACATTAATCAAAACAGTTGCCTAGTATACTACACACCCTCCTCCATTATTTCTGAGCATTGAACTGTGAGGTAAAATTCATGATACCCATTTGGGCTGAATTGCTAAGTGCCGTGTACTGAATTGAAAGCATTAACGTGTGGTCCTATGGAGCACAGTAAAAAGGAAATAAACCAAATCTTAAAGCTAGGTATTGTGAGGTGTTTCCCAATGAAGACATAATTATTATCTGCATTGCAGTGGTCCCAAAGGCTGTTACTAGGTTATGGCAGCATTGCACTAGGTATTGCCCAGGCATATAGGAAGAGATGATTCCTGTCCCAAATAGATTACTTTCAAATGGAACTGAAGTTACTCAGCATTTTGTAATAATAAGATAATGAAATAATTAAGTCTTACCTATGGATAAAAACAAGGCCATCAGCCTTATGGATTTTTTCCCCAAAATTTCAGTTGCAACTTAATTAATTGATAGGAAACTAGTACTATCTTGCACTTAGAGGGTGCAAGATGAGCATGCATGTGTGGTTTGTGGCACTGCAGACCTGTCTGCTGCACAGCAAACTGTACATGCTGCACATGCAGGTGTATGCCGTGCTGCTAGTTTGCAGTGCAGCAGGTTCTTTTGACACCAGGAGATCCCAGTTTCAGAAAAAGCTGTGCCAGAAAAAAGCAGGGTGGCGCACATGGCAGCAGCAGGTGCTGTCTGAAACCAGAGCCTGATGAGCCAGAGCCACACTCCAGTTGCTGGCCAGGCTCTGTGCATGCAGGTTGGTGCCACTGGAACATGGGGAGGCCCCCAGGACCCCAGGTAAGGCTACTGGTGCCAGCCCAGGCACTGGCCCCAGCCTCCCCTACCCAAGCTGGGGCAACTTGCCACGCGCCAGAGCATGTGTGCACGGGCATTCTCCAGGGACAAGCAGCAACAGCACGACTATGTGCTGCTGCTAGTTGTTCCCTAGAAAACACATGTGCATGCTCATCTGGATTGACCTAGAGAATACCTTTCATCTGAGCATCTTTGAGGTTGCTAAAGATTATTATTCCTGATGAGTTAGCATTGTTGCTCTGAGCAGCTCTTGCTCACTTCTTGTTGTGCTTTGCACACAGCATGCAGTGTGTATCGTGTCTGTATACCTTTATCACATTCCAGGCCCCTCCATCCAGTGGCACAAGAACAACCATATGGATCCGGTAGACAGAACATATAATATTTGCAGCCCGATTTCTCCTCACAGCTCTCTTTGCAGGTTCTCCCAAATGTATTGGCTTCGCACGCTACAGGGGGGAAAACGGACCAACAGTGTTAAGTCTATGAAAGACCAGTACTTCCAGTGATACATCCTTATACAAAGTGAAGAAATAGAAAAATGAAAAATAAAGTGTTACCTTCAAATATCGGGTCCATTAATATCCATACCTGTTGTGAATCATCGGGCATCAAGATTCTAGGCATGTCCTAAAGCTGCTGTTGCAGTGAAGATAATTTCAAGCAATGGTGAGGATTTTCCTAAATTACCACCATGTTTTGGATACTTAGGACCATCTTGTCAGCTGCTGCACATCAGTATAAACCCTTTGAATTTGTTGAAGCTCTGCTGACTTAGGCCAGCATAGAGCCTTTATCAGAACTTGACTATAGCTAAACCTTGAACTATAGCTAAACCTTGAACAGCTTCAATCCCTGATAAAATCTTGTATTCACAGAAATCAATTGGGATTTTACCATTAATTTCAATAGGAATCAGGCTATTACATCTGGTTTTTAAACTCTTGTGAAGGAGAGGCAAGTTTTATGTCTGTTTCTGGGTGGTTGCTCACAGCAAACAGTCAAGAAAAACGTCCAGATCTCCCATTGGTAACAGATAATTCTAAAAAGGGATGAATGCTTCATCATACCCACAACACACAGTTGCTTGTGAACACTCCAGTTGTATCTTTGAGAGCCACTATAGCAACAGAGGTTATAATTTAGCAAGGAAAACACTATTAATTAAATGGGCAGTGGTCTCTGCCAACACTGTTCTACCAGGGATGGTATCATAAAATGAATGCATAGAAGGCATTGCAAATACTTACCTGCATGGATAGGCCAATGAACCAATGCTTAAATTTAATCTCAGGTGCTTAAGGTTACTCACCTGCTTAATCTCAGATGCATTTGTTTGCAAGATCAGGGTGTTAGTAGGTTTTACTTTACTGAAATTACAGAACGAGTGGGTCAAAGGGTTTATAGTACGGTTTGGATGTCAGATCTTACCACAGTTCAGGTTAGAACATCTGCAAGCACTGAACTGCAATCATAATGTTAAGGTTTACATATTCTGTAATGCATTTCACAGTTAGAGTAAGCAGCATCAGGTATAGTGACTTAAAACAGGGAAACTCAACTCCTAGCCTGTGGGCGAAATTTGCCCCATGGTGCTCCCCACAGGTTGGGATATTTGGTGGCAGTGGAGCAGTGGCAATTAATACTGCCATCCCCTGATGCCAAATTCCCAAGCCCCATGCAGATGGGTCATAACTGGGCCATGCCCAGCCTCCATGTAGCTGAAGTGGGGCCAGGCCATGTCCCTTCCCTCTGTGCGGCTGGATCAGGGCCTGCCATGTCCACCCCACATGCTGGATCTGGCTCACCAGCTGGATCTGACCCATGGACAGACCAGGCACTGCAGCCTACAGAGCAGTGGTACACCACTGACTTGAATTATTCTGAGTGTTCATGTCCCAGAATGACCAGGCCCTAATAGTTTGGTTAGCAATGTGGATTCAGTTGTAATGTAATATGTTGCTGTGGACAAAGAAGTGATCAGACTAAAGAAAGAATGTTTCCTTACCCTTCTCACACGTTTTCCCCATAAAGCCTGGAGGACAAATGCATTCCCCGGTATCTTCATGACAGATGCCATTGTTCATGCAGGCAGGGCAAATTGAACTACATGTTGGACCCCACTTCTGAGCTTCACAACCTGTTATACAGAAGTACAACAAAAAGCTGGTTTCTGTCTCACACACTAGGCAAACCAGAAAAGGATTAATGGCATTTGCTCATATATAGCACTTCTCATCTATTAGAATCCAGTATATACCAAATCACTTCACTAGAGAAATGCATCCGCTTCTGGGATGAAACATGACAACTGCAGTACACAATAGCAACACCCAACACTTTTAAGACAGGAAAAGAACAACTTCTCTTTTGAAACTGTGGAACAGATTTTAGATTGGAATTAATCTAAATAATTAAACAATTTGGATGTTGGCAAGGATGCTTTGTTTAATATTGTTTTCCTCTTGGACTACAAATAGTCAGGATCTCAGAGTTTCATCTCAGCTGAAACATGTTGTGCTTATAACATGCCAGAAGGTTTAAACTCAGCATTGCTGACATCGTACCAGTATCTAGCAGGGTTTTGCTGTCACAATATTTTTCTTAAACTGAGACAAAAACATAGTAGGCTGAACTCAGCCCTGGTGTAACTATCTCCCCTGATGTTATAAACCAGAGATCAATAAAACATATTCTTCCCTTATGTGCTGTGGAAAAAGCCATCAGCATAAATGTAATTTTCAGTATGCACACAAGTAATCATACTTGAATTAGGCAGAAAGTGATCTTTATTGATAACTCTCATGCATAGCCATGTTTGTGAAGGTAATGATAGAGTACTCTCAAGGCAGTTCCAATAACAAAAAAAGTATTAGTGGAGAAATCTAGATTTGGACCATAATTTTCAGGTTTAGGTTTGTATCTGATAGCTCAACACGGCATTTATATGTCAGAAATTATCTCAAATCCCTAGACATCTAAATGCAGTTCTCAAGAGATGTAGGTTGTAGCCGTGTTGGTCTAAGGACATAGGCAGACAAGTTTCTTTGGGTGAATCTGATATCTTTTATTAGACCAACCCAAATAGTTGGAGAATAGTTATTAAGCAAGCTTTCAGGTTCAAAAACCCTTCGTCAGGCTAAGGAAGTTTCAGCAGTTGGTGTGTGCTCTTCCTGGATGGAATGAAAAGTAAAGAAGCCAGAGGCTGGGCTGGGGAGTCAGTTGTCAGGCAGATAATAATGTATTATAAATCCAATGTCTATATTTAGTCCATGATTTTTAGTATCCAGGAGGTTGATGAAGTGGAGTTCATAGGCTCATCTCTGGAAAGTGTTGTGTAAGTTTCCTTTGAGGATCAGGACTGAGAGATTGGAGATAGAGTGGTTTTCTTGTGAGAAATGTGCCCTCACCGGTAATTGGGTATTTCTGTCTTTGATAGATTTCCGGTGTGCGTTCATTCTGGTGCGCAGTTGTTGTTTGGTCTCTCCTACATATTTTCCATCAGGGCATTTGGTGCATTGGATGAGGTATATTACATTTCTGGAGGTGCAGCTGTAAGATCCAGGAGTGCTGATGGCTCTGTTGTGGGGTGTAGTAATAGTGGGGGTGGTGTTCTTGTTCTCAAGAGATGACACTTAGGCGTCCAACTGTAAAACCCTAAACTCTGGATCTGGTTCTGGGACACACTGGTTACTCCAAAAACTTTTCAGAATCTTATGACATGCTTTGTTTCCCTTTCACGAAAATAATTCTGCACATAGTATAAAATCATGGACAAACAGGACTATAAGGGACATTGGGAGGTCATCCAATCCAACCTCTCCTTGATCAAGGCAGGAACATCTCTGACTATGCCATCCCAGACAAATGCTTGTCTAATCTGCACTTAAAAACCTCCAGTGAAGACCCCACTGCCATTCTAAGCAATCTGTTCCAACACTTAACCACTCTCAAGTGTTAGAAAGTTCTTCATAATATACAGCTTAAATCTCTCTTTTTTGCAGTGTAAATTTCAATATAAAAGATGCCTTTAAGCCTTGAAGGGCAATCTATACCTACACAAAAGATATTGTTGTTTCGATGCAGACAACTACAGCTCCCACATTTTCAGAGCATGGTCATCATGCATACCAGGCAGCTGAAGCCACAAATTCTTGATGATATAAACTGATGCTGGTTTACTCAAACAGAGAATTTGACCACAGTATATGTAACAAAGGTTTAATCTTAGCTTCATCACAGTATAATTTTAAAATAAAGATCAAGACACAGCAACTTACGTCTGACTATCAGCCTTGTATAAGCAGAGGTGAATGTATTTCCTCCTATGTATCTAGCGTAATAGACCCCTGCATCTTGCAGCTGGACAGGAGAGTAGGCTACTTCTAGTTCACCTGGCACTTCATGCCTGGGCACAGCATGAATGAACGAACCTGAAAGAAGATCAGAAAGGATCCATAATAAACAACTAGAATATCCATTCATCCTTTCATGTTTAGAGGAACTTGAATCAGGCACTGGGTGAAGGCAGCTTGGGTGAAGCAAGCCGTCCATGATACAAGGGATATCTTCCATTTGAGACATTACAGACAATGTGTTTGAGGCAAAGAACTTTTTGGCCTCTTGTGGAATCATGGAGGGTTCAAAAATTCAGCCTCTGATGTCAGATGAAAGTGGATGCAATGGTGGAGAGAGAGAAAGAAAAGATCAGTCAAACACCCAGGTTCTGGGCTGTGGAATGAGCAGTGAGACCAGGTGATCTTGGAGGACAATATGTCAGGGGAAAAAGGGGAAGTAGGGCTGAAGCCATGAGGACTACAAAACATAATGGAAATTGATGGTAGATAGACAGAACTAAGTGGAGAGAGATGCAACATGAAAAACAAAGCAAAGGCACAAAAAGGGAATTAGAGGACTAAAGGGATTGTGGAGGGAAGCAGCCCTGTTTGTAGGAATGCAAGCTGACTGAAAGGTGTAAAGAGTGATGTTTCCTCCATGTCATTGTATAAGCATTACCAGAAATACTTATTAGGTAATTATAGAGGTGCCCAGATAGCACAGTAATGGTGAGAGATAGAGAGCAGTTACCATTTTTGTAGATCACTGCGTCTTCCTCCTTTGAGACCTTTCTGATGAAGGAAATGTTCACAGACTCTCCCTTATTTGCTGTAACAGTTAAGGCCACTGGGAGGAAGGAAGCTAAAATAATAACAAAAACAAACAAACAGGGGACAGCATGGGATCACTGGCAGGAACTTTTGTCTCTGTTCAGTCCCCATGATGGAAGCTGGAGAATGCTCTACACAGTCATTCCTGGTGGCTTTGCATGCTTAGACTTCCTACCAGAATGCATTCATTCTTTTTACCACCAGCATCCTCTGCTGTGTATTTTGGCAGTCAGGAAGCTCATCTTTGCCCTGGAGCAACAACAGGACTAAAGGTGAGGAGAAGAAATTAATAGAAATTAAATTTTGCCTGGATAATTGGAAACATTTCCTTATCCATGAGATCCAGTAGGCTGTGAAATATCATTCCCATTCTTTTTATCCCTAGAAACATATTTTGCAGTCAGACAGGGTAATGTACTGGACCATGTATTTTAGGCAAGATTTTTTTTTCTTTTAGCAAAATTATAGAGAAGTCACTCAGGAGAGGGTTTTTTCCCCCCATTTAACTTCTCTGAAGTTCTAGAAGGTTATGTCAATGTCATGTAAGACTTGCTTAAAGATGGCATAGCATATTGTAAGCCTTTGCTCAAAGTTAGGCCTCCATGCTTTCCTCAAATATTGACAAACACTGCTCTTCAGTGAGGACAACTGAATAACCTACATTCATGGTCAACACTTTTTGATCAAGATTAGGCCCCTCAGAAGATATGGTTTAATCAAATAAAATAATGCCTATGGGAAACTATCCAGTTCAATGATCTTTTTAAATTCTTCAACTAAGAATTTGAAACAATTTCTTTTTGCATAAAACGGAGCCACATTTTCCATACTTTCTTACTGTTTTCTAATTTTTTCCAGCTAGAAAATAATAACTGAATGTGAAAGGTGACATTTCACTAAGACCTTTTAATTTTTATCCTCTCCCTACCAGTGAAAAATGTGCACAGAAAAGGGAGGGAAGCAGTCAAAAACATGAAAATCTAACCCCCCCCCAAATTAAAAAAAAACAACATTTTAAGCCAACTTAAATTGAAAAGGTTAATTTCAAAATGTTGGTTTGTTTCAGTATGTTGAAATTAACCCTTTCATTTAAGGCTGGCTTAAAATGTTATTTTCCTTATATTTATTGGAAAAAACAGAATGTTTAGCAGAAATCATTGGAGGTTTTTGATCAGTTCTAATTATGATTTCCTAGGCTGTTCTTCTTCAGATACAAGGGAGAAATAAATCCTACAAAAGCAGTCTTACAAAGTTAGGAAACTTTGATTTTTCAAGCAGTACTTCAAGAATATTCAAATCATGATCTGGGTGTAAATTGTTACTTCTGTCACATTCCTATTTAGGACAGTGAGTGAACTCCCAGCTGGCTACTGTGTTACTGGGCTACTGTGTTTTACTATTTTCATGGGAGCATTTAGCTTCCCTCTGAGTCGGTCCCTACCACATATTGGTTCCTTCTACTCTCTGTACTTCTGTACTGCATCTATCTTCCTCCTGCCTAAAGTCAGCTGAATTTGCTACCAGAACTACCAGGAGCTACTGGAACTATTGAAGCCTCAACTGGAGTGAGTCACATAAGACTGACATAAGCTCCTACTTGATCCCAAATCTACTGCGCTAAATAAAAAAACAAGTATAAAAGTCATAGTTTCATAGTTTCATAGTAGGTACCATAGAAGGGACCTGAGCAGATCATCAGGTCTGACCCCCTGCCTTGGCAGGAAAGAGCACTGGGGTCAACCGACCCCAGCAAGGTGTTCATCTAGCCTCCTCTTAAAGACCCCCAGGGTAGGAGCCAGCACCACTTCTCTTGGAAGTTGTTTCCAGATCTTAGCCACCCTGACCGTGATGTAGCGCCTCCTGATATCTAGTCTGAATGTACCCTCTGCCAGCTTGTGACCGTTATTTCTAGTCACTCCTGGTAGTGCTCGGGGGAAGAGGGACTCCCCCAATGCCTGCGGGTCCCCCCGGCTAGTTTGTAACAGGCCACTAGATCCCCCCTCCGTCCTCTCTAGTGCCGCATAGAGGGGGAGGATCACCTCCTTGGACCTGCTTGAGATGCATCTGTGGATGCATGACAAGGTGTGGTTGGCCTTCCTGACTGCATCCCCACACTGTTGGCCCATGTTCATTTTGGCATCAATAATGACTCCAAGATCCTTTTCTGCCTCTGTACTGATGAGAAAGGAGTTCCCCAGCCTGTAGGTATGCTGCTGGTTCTTCCTCCCCAGGTGCAGCACCTTGCACTTGTCAGTGTTGAAACCCATCCTGTTCTCATCCGCCCACCCCTGTAACCTGTCTAGGTCCAATTGCAGCCTATTCCTCCCTTCTAGCATGCCCACATCCCCCACATCTTAGTGTCGTCAGCAAATCTGAACAAGGTGCTTTTTACCCCCTCGTCCAAGTTACTGATGGAGATGTTGAACAGCGCAGGTCCAAGGACCAAGCCCTGGGGGACCCCACTGCCCACATCCCTCCAGGTCGAAAATGACCCATCCACCACCACTCTCTGGGTGCAGCCCTCCAGCCAGTTAGCAACCCATTTGACTGTGTAGGTGTTGACGCCACAGTCCCCTAGTTTTTTAATGAGAATGGGGTGAGAGACAGTGTTGAAGGTCTTCCTGAAGTCCAGAAAGACTACGTCCACTGCTACCCCTGCATCTAAGGATTTTGTGACCTGGTCATAGAAGGCCACCAGGTTGGTCTGACAGGACCTGCCTCTAAGGAACCCGTGTTGGTTACCCCTAAGCATAAGCTCCCCTGCTAGCCCCTTGCGGACATGCGCCAAAATAATTCTCTCAAAAAGCTTACCCAAGATAGAGGTAAGACTGACTGGCCTATAGTTTCCTGGGTCCTCCTTCCTCCCTTTTTTGAAAATGGGAACCACATTGGCCCTTTTCCAGTCATCTGGCACCACACCAGAGCACCACGAGTGCTTGTAAAGCTGTGCCAGGGGTCCCACAATGACCTCTGCTAATTCGCTCAGCACTCTGGGGTGGAGATCATCAGGACCTGCAGATTTAAATACATCCAGTCCTTCCAGAAGTTCCCTGACTAGATCCTCACTGACCCTAGGCCTGGGTGTGCCTCTCCTGGGGCCTGAGGGGGTCCTGGCGAACGGGCTGATCTGGTCCCTGCTCAGGAAAATGGAGGGAAAGAAACCGTTAAATAGGTTAGCCTTGTCGTCTGGTGCAACAACCAGATTTCCTAGCGTGTCTTGCAGAGACCCCATGTTACCCAGTACCTTCTTTTTGTCCCCTATGTATTTAAAAAAGGACTTCTTGTTGTCCTTGATCCGGGTAGCTAGTCCCAGTTCCATCTCCGCCTTGGCGGAGAAGTCAAAAAGCCCAAGGCTGAATCGATTCAGTCTTTGCAGGTTAGTCTAAAATGCATAGACTGAACCAATAAGCAAGTGAGCAGACATTTACTTTTGATTCGGGAAATGCAGCCACATGCCTGCAGTGGCCCAGGCCAGAAGCTGTGGAACACTAGAACACAACTCCCTGCTCAGCTGGAACAGACAGCTTAAGTCAATGCTAGCCCACCTACCCTGTGAGGGCGGGTTTATGAGGAAGGTGAAAAGCATGTTGAGATGCTTAGTGAGCTAACTTGAACCTGGAGGGGATCTGGGACAGAAGCTCAATAAACCCAATACTCTAATTCAGTTAAGTCTGATACTACATCCATTTAGGTTTATCTTAAATTGGTTTCAGCCATTTTAAAAGTGGTTTATTTGCACTGAACTTCTGTTGTGTTACAGTTTTGAATCAGTTTCTGATAACTTATACTGGTTTATGTGTAATTTCTATCACTAACCCTGAAGTCCTCTTTTCATTCGATAGAGCTGGTAGGAAGAACATTAGTGGTCTATTTTCCGTGGGAGGCTGTAGTTCTTTCAAAGTTGAATTGTAGTTGAAATCATGACCATTTCACCAAAATTTTGTTTGAGCCATCCAGCATAATAGTTCTGACAATGTCTACACATCGAGATGAAAATTTAAATGTTCCATTTTAAAATAACTATTGAATGTCAATATTTTACATTTTAAATCATATGAGAATAATGGCAAAAAGGCAATTGAAACGAAAAATTACAATCCATTGAAAAACAGAGGGGGGGAGGGAGTCTCCAGAAATGGCATTTTCATTTTCAGCACAGCTCTATAACCTAGGCCATATCATATAAAATGGCATGCATATGCTGACTTGTACAATGTTATGTATGTGAGCAGTTCCATTCACTTCAGTGAGATCACTTGTGTGAAATTAAGCAGATGCAGAAGTGTTGGAATCGGGCCCTATAAAGCACCAATCAGTACCTTCTAGGGTGGCACTAGTTTCTGCAGCTGCATGGCCAAACACACAGCTGAACATGGTCCCAAAAGCAGAAAAACAAGAATACTAACAAAAACATCATGAGCAATCCCAGAGTGTTCTCAGTATGTAGGCTGAGAGGTAGTCATAAATAGCAAGCCCACTTCTAAAGATTATGATCTACTTGTAAACAAAAAATAATGCAAAGCTCACAAAACAAACTGTTTGCAACAAGTCTTTCAACCGGCTCCGCTAAAGCATTTGACCTCCATGGGTTTTATTTGCAGCAGAGTTTTCTATTAAATTTAGAGAGCTATTAATAGACACTATTAACTACACTTTGTAGTTTAGCTTTTATTTTTCCTTTCTCAGTGTGTGTGCGCGTGTGTGCGTATGTGTTAGTTTATCCATGGGAGAATTTTTTTCATAGCACTGTTGTTAGGACAAGGAGCCCACATTCCTTGGTGGAATGTAAAAATACATTCCAATGTATTTTTAGATTGCGACTTGTTTAATGATTTCACAATTTGCATGAGCCCTCCCTTGACAGAGACACCACAAATCAGATTGCAGAAGAAACGCCAATGCAGTGTTTTGCTTACATTTCTATATACCCATTATTGTCCCTGCAGAAAGAACCTCTAGCATTACATAATATTAAATAATATACCATGCAATATATAAGAATACCACACATTCTACCTATATTATATGCACATATATACTTAAGTCCATGGCACAAATTCACATAATGGCATGATGCGATCTGTTTCCTGGTCCCAAAAATTGCACCTGCTGCCATGCCACACATGCCTGGCAAGACACATGATTTTGGGATCAGGGATCAGATTCCAGTTGCACCTTTACTACTTGCCAGGCCACAGGGAGCATGATCCTGAGCTTTACCTGCAACAGGAAGTAGAAAACTGGATACTTGGTAAACCAGTGCAGTCCTGGAGCTGGGACTAACAATCAGCTGATATTGGTCTCAGCCCCAGGACTGCACAGCAACTAATTCAAGACTCCAGTGCAGTCCCAGGGCTGAGACTGACAATCAGCTGATTGTAGGTACCAGCCTCAGGATTGCACTAGGGCTGGTCCTAGGTATACCTCCTATGCAGCTGGTATCAGGATGCAGGGCAGGAACCTTGCCACATGTTTAAGTTGAGACACAATGGAACCTGTGCAAAATTATTGCACATATTTTATTGAATAATTTTGTGGCTTATTTCCCATTTTATCGTGTCATTAATTGCCTGAACATGTGGGCAGGTTCCTTGTTAAGAGATGATTAACAGGTTAATTGCATCTTAGGTGTAACATCTGCCATGAGCCTCATAGACACATCATACAATCCTACCATGGGCTGGAATATCCAGAATTCAGAAGAACTCCACCACTACTTTGAGAAGTTTATATGTACAATCAGGCAGAAAAAAAAAATCTTACATTTCCACATAATAAAGGCCAAGATTTCCTAAGTGCTGCTGTGTAAAATGTTGATGTCATAAACTCTTGTACCTACTGTTAATAATGGGTGAGCTTTGTAAGGTTTTGATACTTGATTTACTACAAAGTGGGCACATCCACATGAGATGCTATGTCCCTGTAGTGGCGAGCTATGGAGATATAGCTTGTTGCTACAGCAATGTAGTGTTGGTGGGCACAAACCATGATGCCAACACTACTGCACAGTAGCAATGAGCTACTGCGCAGTAGGGTCAAAAGCAACCCGTGCACCACCAGGACTGTGCAGTAATGGCTGTTACTGCTAAAGCAGGTACTAAATGACTGCACAATAACAACTGTGCAGTTGGTTGCATATGTAGACGTGCCCAGTATGTATTAAACAGTTCTTATGCTTCTCTGCAAATTATGCCAGACTTTTTTCTTTAGTTCTCACGCTGGGGAATGAATGGCTGAAGTTAGGCTCCTCAATAAAGCATGTGAGAAGTCCAATAAAACTCAACAAGACTATTTCCATGGACTTCAAGTTAAGCACTTGAATAGTCTAATGGATTAGGACACTAATTCAATGAAAGTTCCAGCAATGGCTGGACGTTCCAGAGTGCTGATTATCCAACTGCTCCCATTGACTTAAATAGGAAATGAAGTGTACTTTTCAATTACACTCAATTTTTCAGTACTGAAAAACCACAGTGCATTTCAAAGCCTTTTGAAAATTATTCAGATCATAGCAATGGAAGTGAAAAAGACCTATTTTCAACTGTAGTAGCTTTGCCAAGCCTCACAGTCATTCACTGACCTCCCTTTCCTCTCCCTGCAGCATTTAATAGCTTTGAGAATTTCTATCATGCCTCTTTCTCACCCATCCGTCCAGTAGTTATGAGAGAGTGCACATAATAGACTCTCTGGTGAGGTCTCAACTCAAGCTACACAAACTAAAAAGGTTTTGGCAAAAATTCTCTCAAAAGTAGATATATAAGAATCAAGTTTATTCCCTTGCATAACACATGGATCACCAACACTATATTGGCTTTAGTCAAACATGAAATAATCTTTCTAGTGACAGAGGATGGATTTGGAAGGGCCAGTTCCAAATCCATCCTCTGCCACTAGAGAGATTATTTCATGTTTGACTAAAGCCAACATAGTATTGGTGATCCATGTGTTATACAAGGGAATAAACGTTCTCAATTATTGGCTAGGATATCAGAAGATGTCAGAATAACCATGAAGTTCATTCAGCATAAAATATAAAACCCATTTTTCACCCTGGACTGCCAACAAATACTTTTAGAGTAAAACAAACACAGACACACCGAGACAGAGAACAAAAGAAAGTATCCTTATGTTCATTCACTATGTATTTTGGGTGTGCTCGGATACCACAATGATGATTGCTATATAAGAACCAAGAAAGAACAGACGGACAGACAAATACAACTGCTCATAATTTTTGTATTGAAAAGCAGCCTAATTGGCTACATGTTGCGGTCTAAATTTTTGGTGTCATAAACTCTTGTACCTGGTCTTACCGATTGATGAGTTTTGGAAGATTTTGATACTTGATTTACTATAGAACATGTATTGAGCAGTTCTTATGCTTCTCTAAGAATTAAGCCAGTCTTTTTGCTTTAGATCTCAGCCTGGGGAATAAGTGAGATCGAGTTTTCCAGCCTGGAGGCCTAATGGTCTGAGTACAGCAGTTGTATCCAGCAACTCCTACCTTTTAAAATTAAGCTATTTTCTGTTTTAAGGGTTTCTACCACTGCACATCACCTTAATACCTGAACACCTTCCATAGAAAGGGAATGTCTACACTGCATCAATGCAGTGTCATGATTACTGGAGCTAATCTGAATGAGAATTATCTAGTAATAGAAGCAGTGCAGCTAGGTTCATTCAATATTTTGCTTGGGCTAATTAGCTCTTGCTGAGAAGCTGTGTAAATTAGCCTGAGCAGACCACCATGCTAAACTCTGTAGTGCCATGTAGACACACCCAAAATAGCAAACAACAGTGAAATTATTATTGGATTGTATGGAGTTGGCTCATCTCAGCTTAGAGGAATGGCTTGAGGTAAGACATTTTATTTTTGCTGGTTCTTTTTTTTTGGTGGGTTGGAGAGGTAAAGTGGAGGGGGCAGAGAGAGGGAGAAGGGAGAGATGTCTGTTCTTTGTTCCTGATATTGACTCACCCCAGGGTCTTAACCGTGTCCCTCAACTTCCTGGCCTCAGCTTTCCCATCTATAAAATGTACAGTGTTACTCAGCTACCTACCTCACTGCCTTGTTTTGAATTTAGCTGGTTTCTCTTCATAAAGTGCTTTGAATATGGCAAACCCAATGATAAGAGTTACCATTTTATTACTTTATGGCTTCCATAAAACCAGGGCAGTTTTTTTTTGCCTTATTTTATTACTTCCTTTTGTACATCTAGCTTTAAGCAGAAGCAGTCAGAATGTCTAAAACTGTGTAAAAGAAAAGAACCATCTAAACATATTTATCCACTGTTTCTGAGCTGATTTGAGCCAAATAAGTTCTATTTTGAACACAGGCAGACAAAACTCTTAGGGTAGAGGCGATATCTTGTATTAGACCAACTAAAGAGTTGCAAATTTTTTTTTTTCTTTTCAAGCTTTTGGGCACACATACCCTTACCAGGCAAAGGAGAATTCAAATATTATAACATTTCTCCCAGGTAGAAAAGAAATTTCAGCTTGCAAAGGGGAAGACAGAGATGGCAGGGTCACTTTGCCCATTTGCCACCGCACCTGTACCCATCAAGTCAAGGTATCAGAAACAAGAAGCCCCCTAGCAGGCCTTTTACATATCTATCATGACCTACATACGGTACCTCTTTGTGACATCTTCATAGTACGTATCCTTGTCACCTCATCTTTGACTTTCCCTTCACAGTAGTAAGCTCCAATCGTTTCACCAGCTTGTTCTCTTTTCCACACCACTTTTTTGGCAGTTCCTCTCTTCTCGTCTTCAGTCACTTCCAGGGGGTTCTGGTGTTGGCTCATCAGGGCCTCGTAGTCTCTCCCGATGGTGACAGACTCACAGGGACGCCATTTGGCAGCAATACAGATAAGAGATGTTTCCGTGTTGCCCACTAGAGGGAATGAATTGATCAGCATCAGGTCCAGTGCTGCTTCCACTTTACCTACAAGCAAACAACAGGTGAGGAGACTTTACCGTAGGGTCTGAGTATTTCTTTTAGCTCTGATTGCTCGGATGGGGGTCTTTCAAAATAATGGCCAACTTCTCTGACTACCACCTTGCTGAGCTTTAAAGAGAAGAAAATGGCTGCATGTTCATTGTCTTTTTTTTACTGAGGCCAGATTGTGCCTCCAGATATATTGAAGGTTCTGTGTTGACACAGAAATGAGCCAGCCATCTGGCAACACGCTCCTGTCTCATTAGACATTTCCATCCACCAATCCCTACCAAGCCACTAGAACATCCCTTAAGACCAATATAGCCAGGGAACCAGAAGTAGAGTCAAAGGGAGAAACCTGCACTGCAATGGGTCCTTGTGTGCAGCTCCTACCAAACACATCCCTGTAGTATCTAGTCTCTGCTCTTAGAAAGCCATCCTATGTATTAGACATGTGTGATACCTATTTAATGGGGATATCCTACTTTCCGTTCAAATACCATTTACTATTACTTCTCTCATGCAATGAAGAGAGAAAACAAAAAAGAAGACAGACACATTTCTGTGGAGATTTGAGCTAGGTCCAAAAGCAGGACATTAGATCCAAAGAGCCAGCACATTGGGTTCAGAACTATATAATAAGAGCCAAGATGGATGGATTCCAGTACCTACAGGTCTGTCTCAATGAGCCCATTGTATTCCTGTATTGAGACCTTCTGAGCCAGCTCCTCACCTGCTTTGGACATGGTGGAGCCATACTCAACAGTGCAAAACAGATGTAAAATATTACCAAATCAGAATGCCAATTTATGCCTACTTTGCTGAGGCAAAAAGAATTATAAAAGATGTCAATGAGTGGATAATTCAGTCCACAGCTTACAATGGAGGGGAAAAATGATCAGACATCTGTCCCAAGCCAGCTGGCATATGATGCTAACATTACTAAGACATACCTGTGTTCATAGCCAACAGCACACAAGTGAATTGGCGGTGTCTGACAGCCTTTGGACTTGGCTATACCACAGCAGCACCAGGGCTCAGAGAGGATAGGGCTGAGGAGACCCCGCCGACTCAAGCCTACTGATGTGCTCTAGAGTTGGAGGTTCACCAGTGAAACCACTCCAGGCTTGTCCACCACTCAGGTCACAGGCCTATTGGAGACTGAAGGTTCAAGATTAGGTGCAGCAGAAGAGTTTGAAGTAGCCCTGTTAGAAAATTTCCACTTCTGGAGAACATCAGCAGATTGGGAACTATGTGCTGTACTTAGTCCCATATTCCTTAAGCCCCATGAACACCATGGTGTTGATAAGTCCTTTGATTCCCCAACTCAAATGAGAAAGTGGTTATGCATATAGTGGCCTGTGGCCCAAGCCTGGAGGAACTGACATGTCTAGAGTGTATAGAGAGATGCTCTTTTCTGCTCCACCACTAAACTCCTCCCTTGGTAAAAGTCCCTTTATCCTTAACCAAACCTTGCAAATTCTATACTGCTTGCTTTTTGCTCTAAGGTCATAAACCCACTTTAAAGCTAAAAAATAATCTTGTCACCTCTCTAATTTGTAATCTTGTGCTTTAAGCAACAGCCCTGACCTGACAAAGCTATCCCGTTTTAAATACCTTGGTGATGAGCACTATGGAAATATGATAGATCAAAGCACCATTACAATATTCATGCCTTAATAGTTTACATACATGTAAGCTACAGCACCCTCTCTGATTAACACTTTTCAAACAACAGGCATTTCCTTTTAATTTTGAAAGTCAGGGTAAGGAAAAAGGAAACTGCATATTTTTCCAGCTTAAACAGGGGAAATAATAGATTACTTTTAAAGTAACACCTTGATTTTCCAACTTCAGATTCAACTGCATGTTGTGGATACACAAACAGCCGCCATACAGCCAAAATTCAGTACCATTCAGGTTGCAACATTTTTTCTCATTTCAGGCAATGGGTGTAGCCTTAGATAAAAAGGTCACCAGGGCTCAGGGCTTACTTTAGTCTTTAAATGTGTGCGTGTGTGTATTCCATGCTTCAGGCCAAGGGAGGAGGTCCTTCTTTGCACTCAATGCCAACAGCTACTCAGGGGAACCTTGTATCTTAGAGCACATTGACATTAACCACGCCCAGCTGCAGTCACCACCCTTTAACATGCCAACCCAGATAACTTTAAGCAACATAATGGAGAAATGAAACCTCCTGGAAAGGATACAACAGCCATTAAAATAAATATTGTATAAAGCTAAGGGTCAGCAAAGTCAAGACATCCTGTAACACATTACAAAATGACTCCTTTGTATAAAGCTAAAGGTAAATAGACCCTGTGATCTTGTCTAGATTTATATGCATACTTTCATGTCTGGTTGTAATTACACAGGGCCAAATTTTGCAATTTTTACTGAAATGAATAGTTCTTACTCTTTATGCCCCTGAATCTCCTCTCACGTATACCAGTAGGAATCAGAAGTAGTCGTCTTGAAATCTGTATGTACAGATGAGATGGTTTCTACAATACTTATTTACAGGTTTCCCTTGCTTTATGCGGTATATGTGTTCCTGGAAAACAGTGCATAACTCAAAAACTAAGAGCCATCTAGTCTCTTGGCAGCTAGTCTCTCTTGTAAATTGTATCCAATCCTTTCCTACTTACCCTTGCTTACAATCCCTATTGTTATCCCTGTCCATTCCTTTCAATTTATTCTCCTCCCAAATCCTTTTATTTGTTCTTGTTAGTCTGTCTTGATTATTTCCCCTCACAAATAGAAATCTGTGTTTTCCCTGAGTCGTATGTCATCACTGTGCCGGAAAGCACAACATATATTACACACACATTTTGCAGCACACCAAACATCATGAAGCGTGCTGGAAAGGCAGGTGCTAGGTCTTCTGGCAGGAGAGGGAGAGGGGGAAGAAGGAGAGCAGCAAGTTCCCCCTGGCCCAAACACAGACGTGCCCTCTTTTCTGGCAGTGATAAGTCTTCTGCTGCTAGTGGGAGCAAGGTTGTGGTAGCAGTGCCTGCACCTGCACCACCACCACTAACACCACTAACCAGCAGCAGCATGACATTCTCCACCCAGTTTAAGTTCCCAGCGTGAGCCTTCCAGTGCCAGAGGAGGAACTGGATCTGGAAGCAGAGGAGTTGAGGACCATAGCAAAGGAAGTTCTGGGGAAGGAGGGAAAATCTGAGTTTGTGCTCCACAGCCCTCAAAGTTCCCCTAGAGGCAGGTCCCCTTCTCTGGAAGGCACTTCAAAGGAGGTCGTGGGGGCAGGTGGCTTAGCTCCTCCTATTGTTGTGCTTCTGCCTGTTGAGGAGGGGAATAAGGCAGAATCCCTACCCACAACCCAGAAGCAGGTGGGGAGTGTAGTGTGGGATCATTTTGAGGTGGCAAATGATCTGAGGTATGCTACCTGCCAGCACTGGCAAAGGCAGATCAGCTGGGTCAAGGACATGAAACACTTTGCCACCACAGTGATGCTGCTACATCTCATGCAGCAGCATCCCTTTGCCCTTATTCCTCCCTTGTCCCACCAGTGGGAGTGTGCCCAAAAAGAAGTCCCCCTCTTGCTCCAAAGTCTCTGTCCCCAAGAAGCAGAGGCAGGCCACCCTGGACAAGGGGAGGAAAGCTGCAGACAAAGGGGGATGTGTTACTAAGGAGAGCGAGGTCACCCAGAGCATTCGGAAGATGCTTGCTCTGAGAGGCCAGCCCCTCTCCTTTGTTAGTGTCCAGGGTTCAGGTGGCTCATAACACTCATGGCCCTGCATGCACCACCTTTAGCAGGACTGCGGTGCCCTCCCTGTATGAGGCATGCAGGGAGTACTTGAGGGAGGAGCTGAGCAAGGCAGGACCACAGGTAGCTTTGCACTTTACCTCAGACATCTGGAGCAACCAGGATGGAGATCATGCCTATCTCTTCCTCACAGGGCACTGGTGTGATCAGTCAGGGCGTCGGTAGGCTGTCCTTCAAGCGGAGGTGATGGATGGGTCCCACATGGCAAGGGAGATCATGGTGGCCATGAACTACATGGTGAAATGGTGGCTCATCGGGCAGAGTAAGCTCACCCATGGGTTCATGGTTACTGACAATGGGACCAATATGGTCAAGGTGGTGTGTGATGCCAACTTTGCTGGCATCCACTGTGTGGCATACAAGTTCCACCTCGTGGTCAGGGATGCCTTGGAGGGGTACAGGGCTCCTAGTGACGGTGCTGTCACTACCAGCCAGCTTATTTCTGGAAGGAGGTGGCAGACCTCCTTCCAGAGTCCTTCCTTCCAAATGCAGGAAGGTGGCAGGCTACTTCCATTGGAGTATCAAGGGGGGCAAAATGCTGCGGGACAAGCAAGCAGAGCTGAGCGTCCTACACCACAAAATTATGCAGGATGTGGAGACTTGGTGGAATTCCACATACCTGATGCTCAAAAAGCTGGTCAAGCAACAGAAAGCCATCCATGAGATGGCCTTGGTTGGGAAGATTGGGATCAGTAGCCCCCTTAACAAAACAGGGTGGGATACTATCTCCCAGATCTTGGTGGTCCTCAAGCCATTCCTCGAGGTCACTGAGACCCTCAGCACTGGCGATTCCCTTGTTAGCCAGGTGATCCCCATAGTGAAGGAGCTTGAGAATGAAATGGAGAAGTTCCAGGATATCAGTGTTCCTGGTGGGGACAAGCCACTTTCACCAGAGGTGCAGGCACTGGTGAAGCAGCTGAAGGAGGGCATCAAAAAATGGCTGGATCCATTGTGGTCCATGTGCTTACGGGCACACATGACCAAAGGGTGAAGGGGATTGTCTGCAGCAGCAAAACCCTCAATCACTGGACAGCGGTTCTGGTGAACAGAGTCAGGACAGAAGGACACAGGCAGGGGGACGTGGAAGAGGGGGAACCACTTTCTTGTGCCAGCACTCCAACCACAAGCCAATCTCCTCCACCACAGCTACTGCCATTGTGGGCCAAGGGCATGGATTCAATGTTGGGGTCCAGAGGCACCAGACCCCACCATCAAGCAG